TCGGGACTTGTGCCATGAAGTCGAGGGCAGATCAGGGAGTCGTTGATGCTCGGCTAAACGTGTATGGTGTGACAAACCTCAAGGTTGCAGACTTGTCCATCGTGCCGAAGATTGTTGGTACGGTGAGTAGTAAAGGAGAAATTGTTGATGTATGGTCTAACCATCTTTCAGAACACTTATTCGACGGCGCTCCTCGTTGGAGAGAAGGCTGCGATGATCATTGCTGAAGACTTGGGTATTAAATGCAGGCCGTGAAGGTCGTTTCCGAAACTGCTCAAGCGCGATCTTGATGCGCATCTTCAAAGTGTTCATGAGCATGTATTTGGCGTGTACCTTCGTGATGTACACGCTGATTGTGGATCATTGCCATCTCAGGGGATGCATAGTATGGACTGCATGGATTACGTACAATCTGTATGTCAAAAGGAGGTAAGTTATAACGCCTGGCCCAATTCAAGAAAAATTTCTCCGAGTAATTGCCATAGCCATGACTGACAACAGGGTTGTTTTGCCGTCTGGTTTGGGTGAGGCAGCCTCGCACTTCACACAGTATTTGCATGCATGTGAACATGGCCTTTGCTCATTCGATGGTAGTATCTCTGGCAAAGAAAACTACAATAAATTTGATTACAGGAAATGCGACGTCACGAGTTTGATATACCGTGCAGGTAACATGTATGGTGCAGAATAAAACAGATGAACATATCCGCAGCATGTCCGATTGTGCATCAATCGGCTGTTAAATTGGCCCTCAGACAGCCATTTGTCATTGCGCACAATTGGGGTCTGGGAATGTAATCACTAAATTAGCTCAAATGAATGAGGCATCGTTCTATTCAATCAGGTGTATCTGAAGTCAGATACCACAGGCACCTAAACTATTCCTTGTTATTTACCTCTTCGCGCATCCAACCCCTTTCCAGCTGCACCAGCCGGGTCCGTGCCAGACACAGGTTCGGATCCTGAATCTAGCTTTTATTATAGCCCTAGGAAACCCTTATTTATTTGAACGTGCTTTGGAGAAGTTGGACGCATGGATTGGAGAAGTGATTGATATCATCAGCGACGAGATGTCATCTCAAGGGGCGTCCAGCCAAGAGGTACAAATGACAGAGAAGTTGAAGGGGTGGAGGGATGATATTGCGGAGCTACGGGCAGGGGGAGGCAGAGGCCTCTAGACTTGAAGGATGAGAAGTACGGCTGCTGAGAGCAGCAGATTGTTCGTGAACTAAAATGATGATGCAGCAATGGATGTATTATCACAAATATAATCCTTGAAGGACAGCCAGTAACAAAATGTGTGAATGTTATGAGTTGTAATACAGGTAGATAGATTCCCTATTCATAAGACGACAAGTATCGGAGAGACGATGAGATTTTTGATGAAGTACAATGCGAGATATATTAGTCAATGCAAACAGTCCTGGCAGAAGCAACTGGCTGCTTCCCAGTGCAAAAAATGCCGAAATATTTGATATTCGTTCGAGTGAACACCCTTCGAGGGAGAGAAGGTCCCCTCGTTGTCGTCCGGTTTGATGTCAACCGCTGGGTATTCCTTAAACACTACAGGTTTTGCTCCGTTGTCACCCGGGTCACCTGTTGGGTATTGCTTAGGCACTAGATGTTTTCGTGCGTGTGACTCCTTCGTAGATTGCTGCTTTATAAATTCTCCGAGTCGGTTGACTCTTGCTCTTTTTTTTGCGAAAGCATCCGGTGCTAAGAATTGTTCGTTAATCTAGGGCTCCTGAGTATGGCAGCAGGTTCACATACGTGGCATAACCTCTGCCGCGTCTGGTTTTGACACTGATGAGATAGCAGTAGCAGGCAGGCAGGTCCTTTTTCCTGCGGCTGGTGCGTTCGGGGCGACAAGTAATTCTTTGATGCCCAGTTGGGCACGGGTGTCAACTCCCCCGTAATATATGACGAGATGAGTGTATAGAGGAAGCAAGAGCCGATTTATTCTTTCTGTATGGATTGTGAAAAGAAAATTCAACAAATTACATATAAATGTTTACCATCCAGTTCCAAAGGAAAGGCGTGTTTGCGGCGTCTGATTAAAATCAGCATTTTGAAGTACGCCGACTTCAATGGCAGCAAGGTCTGTGGACAAACAACGAACAGGTATAATTTCACTCCTACACGTGTAAGAGTGCTGCGTGCGACCTTAATTACCGAGAACATTATTGAAAGAACTTGTGACAATTAAAAATATATTAACCTCAGTCAGGGCGATAATCTTCACGGAAAGGCCATCAGTTGAATGTAAAACGGGATTAGCAGCAAAAACAAGACCTTTCGACCGTAGCGCCGAAATTCTGAATCTTCCGAGCGGCTGAACTTCAGGAGGTCATTGATACCATCTCGAACATGTTTTTGAGAGCAAAGACGTTCAGTGAGTTCCATAGTGACTCTTCGACAATCAAGTGTAGGGGTGATGTCGTTGTTCATGACTAGTAGAAAGCAGGCGTGAGAGGTGGAAAGATATGGAAAGAAGGGAAATCTTGCCAACGCGGAATATGTAGTGATGTGGCACAGCTTGGATCTCTTGGTCTACGAGTATTAGAAAGCCTTGCCAGTGCAGTCATTAAAAGGGTAAATATAGATATCATCACAGGCCTCCCATGGCCAGAGTCGCCTGCGAACTTCTATCGTTCCCGGAATGTACCATAGCCATGTCTGGCGGTATACTTGCGCTGTATTCTAGCACATTTACTTCACCCCACTCGTGCCCCACACAATCACGATGCTTTGGCAGAGTTTCTAAAGGAGGACGTGTGGAATTGTGGTGTGGAAAAACACAAAAGGTCCTGTCAGCATTTACGTACAGCATCACCAAATAACACGTCCACAAACCATAACCTTGCCAGCATCTCAAATACAGCAGCTCACAGCGTGTTGCTTAACTGTACATGTGCATGTGAACAACCACCGCGCGTCAATCAAAGCGACACGCAATGGAATCATCTACGAACAGAACAGAAGAGGAACTACAGAAACAGCTAGAAATTCGGAGAGAGATCAGGCGCTTGCAAGCTCAGCTTACATCCTTCCCGACTCCGCAAACGACGTAATCGGATCTCCCAAGAGGAAACACCCATCTGAAACTTTGCTCGCACCCGCTACTCCGTCTCCTAGTGAGTGAGCGCGTGTGCTCTAGAGGTTTTGTCAAATGAACGCTGATGGCAGAGAAGAAGAGGAGGGTCGATCATGCAGGCCATACACGGCGCTCGTTACTTGGCGGGACGAGTGCCACCTCGAGATCCCTCTCAGCGTCTGGAGCTCGGAGCGTGAATCCACGGCCTTCGGGTAAAGGTCCGATTGCTACGGTGCAATATCAGAAACCTGCTCCTTCGAATCTCCTCGGCAACCTTTCTAAATTATCAGGTGGCACAGCAAAGCAAGAAAATGCAAATTCAGCTCAGAGGTCCCACAGCTTACTGGCTCGACCCAAACCTGAGCCCTCCATTGCTTCAAATTCCAAAATGACTGAAGTGCCACCTAGTGCCTCCCAATCTGCTTCGGACATCGTGCCGAACAGAGATGACCGACTGGCCATCGTCGAGCAGCTTGAAGTCGGTCCCGTGGATCACAAGCCGCCACTCGATGACCCTCATTTCAGCGACTTGAGCCAAATTCAGGGATCCGACTTTCGTACGTCTTGTCACTGCAATTGAAATCTATTAAATCACCGAACTTACGGATTGTACGTAGGTCTCGTTCATTACCACACGATGATTTGCAGGAATATCTCCGAGGTCGATATTACCTTTCACCGTCTACACTTTACTCTTGCATACGACTGTTACCCAACCAGTCAGGTTACGATGTACCTGTTGAAGGTGATTGGATCACCATCGCCGTTGTTGCAGAACGGGGCCCTGTGAGGACTACGCGTGCTCCCGTAGACATCGCACCTGGCGGCGATGGACGTGCAACCGATGATGAAGGAGCCTCTGGTAACGCCAACGACCGTAGAGCTGGTAACGATTCTCGTACTCAAGACCCGCAGAAACAAAAGTCCTCAAAATCTCACGGCAAAAAATTTGTCAACATCAAATTAATTGATTTTGGGGCACATTCACGACCGTCATCGTCCGGCGCAGCATCCATCCGAGGAGACGCATTTTTGACCCTCTTGCTGTTCGAAGCTGATAGTTTTGACCGCGTCACGAGCGACGATGGAAAAGTCAAGAAGCTCTACAATGGTGGCAGCAAAGGCGCTTTCGAAGCAATGTCAAAGCTTAAAGAAGGGGACGTCATCACTCTTCTCAATCCCAAAGTCCTCAAGCCCTTCCAGGTGAGCTTCCACGAGTAGTATGACCCATCGTAGTGAATAACTCGCTCAGCGGAACAACAAAATCGGGAAACCGCACCCAACCGACAACATACTCGCTGTCACACCCGAGTCCGCCGAATCCATCGCCATCATCGGACGCGCACAAGACTTGGGCATGTGCAAGGTGCTCAAACGCGACGGCAAAATATGCGGAAGCTGGACGGATAAGCGAGTAAGCGACGTATGCGATTGGCACTTGACGAACGCTGTGCAACGGCAAAGAGCCGGGCGAGCTGAATTTTCTGCAGGGTGGGTGATGCGATGATTCTATACCTTCGCTTCGACTCACAACCCCGTTCCTCAGGACTTCTGGCATGACAACTTCGTCATCAAAGAAGCGCAAAGCGGATTACGATCCACAACGCCAGTGGGGATTACAGCCTTCTGAAGCGTCTGGCTCCCGTGGAGGCAATGCCACGTACGTTGTCTCGGGGCACGTCGTGAGCGGGTCGAATCGGGATGTCTCGTCGATGTTTGTCGCTGAGAACATGGGGCGCGAAGGCCAGGCGCGAGCGAAGCGAAAGCTGATTCAGGATGCCGATCACGAGCTGAAGCGCCTACTCGAGAGGGATAAGGAAGGCATGCGTGCTGTTGCCAAGGCCAGGGAGATAGGCACGATGACGGCGAAGCGAACCTCTGATGGTGCTAAGGATAAGAAGTCCGCAAGGTTGAAGGGAAAGGCGAGATATTCAGATAGTATCTCAGAATCTGACGCACCCCAGACGAAGCTGGCGTATTCTGCAGATATCATCAAGAAGCTTGGATTCGATCCTGCAGCGAAAACAGGGCAGAAACGGGCGGTACAGTCTGCGGTGCAAGATAAGGTACATTGTTATAAATATTTACTTTGCTCTCTCTGACACGGAGTCTTGATGCTGGTTTCATAGATTGCAGCTCTCGCAGCTGTCCGTGAGTCCCGGAAGGAAATTAATCTTGGTCCGCGAC